GTGACCAGCACAAGTGATTTCTATTGCTCCCACTACCACACCCTTAGAGGAGACAGGAAAGCTAGAGGGGGTTGGAGTCAAAGAAATGCTTTTCTTCCAGCTAGGATAAGGCTCTGGTGAAGTCTTGTTCCGTGGAGAGTTGGCCTTTGTTTCGGAGAATGCTCTAGGATATCGCATAATCATTATTCTTCTCTCTGCCCTGAGAGGGCCATGAGAAGATCTTCCTTGGCTATTCATAGTGAGAACTTGGAGTTCCTGCTGATAAAAACCTATACAAGCATGGGATTCTGTAAAGACTGTGGCTTTTAGGAGTTTGGTACTCTCATGCTAGTCCATGCTCATCCCTCAGCGATTTTTGTCAAAATCACCATTTAAGTATTCCTACAGTTTATGGCTCTAGCAGCTTCTACACCGGGGAAGCAGATCTTGGCTGTGACTGTTTGATTTCACTCATCTCTCTCTCTGTAGTTTGGGGTTGTGGTTTAACCTGTAACCTTAGTTCTCTGATGAGTCCAAGAAAAATCATTGATTTTCAGTTTGTTTAGCTTTTTCTTGCTGTATGGATGGGAGCAGTGGCTTCCCAACTCTTTGCGTGTTGGAGCTGAAACTGGAAGTCCCTTTGTGGCTTCTCGATGGCTACCCTACCCACCTTCCATCCAATGTAAAGGCTGGGTTGGTCTCATTTTCATAAAATGTCCTGACCTTTGCAAAAGCACCTGGGTCTTGAAGAGGAAAATCACCACTTCTGTGTTGTGGCTGCCTAAGTCACTGCATACTTCCTGCTTCCTTCTTTTGATGGGGTCTAAAGTCCCTCATGTTTTTCTTTTTACCAAACTAGCTATAGGTTCTACAGTAGATCTCTTTATTTAGTTGGAAATGCCAAATGTACGTGGGTGTAGGATGGGTGGGGGTCTTTAGCTTCTTTTTAATCTTAAGCTTCTCCAGCACTACCTGCCCTCCAACCTTTGATAGGTAAACAAATTGTTTTATCATTCTTATGTAAATGCAGCATTAACCCCACTCCAACCCTTTGTTCTTAACCACTGAGCTCTCCCCTAAGCTGCTGCTGAGATTCTGTATTAAAGTGGCAGCCCCTGTATCCAGCAGACAGCTTCCCAGCCCCCTCTGTCATTTGTAACTCAGAAGCAAACCAGGAAGGAGGCAAGAATTCTGAGCAGCCTAAGGAATAGTTGCCATAAAAACCCATGTACCCTTTCTTTCTTCTTTTCCAAGACTTGCTAACTGGGGCAGATGAAGAAGATTATAGGGGTGGGGTATATGGGCAGTTGGAGCCTGGATAGGGTGAGAAGGACACCTGCTGGGGGAGGGGATATTGATAGCAACGGGAACACTGATCAGGTAAAGTATTTCAGAATACTGAAATATATTCAGAATAATGGAAAACAGATTTCTTGTGTTGTAGAAGGGAGTTGCAAATGTGGAAAGAAAGGAGAATGAACATTGTGGTATTGGGATTGCATTTGGAGGTATTGGTGTGAACTCAGTTTTTCTCTATGTAGACATATATAAAAATACAAATAGATGTAAATATGTCACAAGAATGTGTGTGCATGTGCGCATATAAATCTATAAATGTACATACAGTTGGCCTTGGAACAACACCAGGCTTAGGGGTGCCAACCCCCTGCATGGTCAAAAATCCACGTATAACTTTTGACTCCCCCAAAACTTAACTACTAATAGCTTACTGTTGACCAGAAATCTTACAGATAACCTAGTAAATTAACACATATTTTGTATGTTATATGTATTACATGCTGTATCTGTACAATAAAGTGAGCTAGAGAAAAAATGTTATTAAAGAAAGTATCAAGAAGAGAAAATATATTTACTATTCATTAAATGGAAATGGATCATCATAAAGGTCTTCATTCTCATTGTCTTCATGTTGAATAGGCTGAGGAGTAGGAAAAAGGGGTTGCTCTTGCCATTTCGGGAGTGGCAGAGGCGGAAGAAAATCAGTGTATAAGTGGCTGCATGCAGCTCAAACACATGTTGTTCAAGGCTCACCTGTATATGCTGTGAACTAAAATAAAATCCTAAGCCCCCTACTGACTGAATGGACCCCCTGTTGGCCAAGGAGACCCTAGAGAAACCTTAAAACTGAGTTCCCAGCCATGACAGGATGGAAGGTCAGACATGCCTCCTTATACCCCCTCCCTTGCTAACTGGCCATCAAACTTTTTGCCCTAAGGGCTAAACAGAAATCAGTCTTGTGACCTGCTCCTCCGTGTTGGCAGTTTCTGCACTACAGCTGACCAGCATTCTTTCCTAATAGGAGACCACCACCCATGGAGCGATTTTTAACCACTCTGTGGAGCATGTGCAGATAGGGTTTTCATGTCTTCTGCTTCACTTTTTGACACCAGACGGCCGCCATTTTTGAACATGGACTCCGTGAAGGGGCAGAAAGCTTGAATGTGCAGGCACGTGTGTCTCCTTTTGTAAATATTCATGACTCCAATAGCTTGTTAAATATGTATATTTAGCCATTCTGCTCAGTATAAAATTCCTGTTCCCATTGTCTCTCCCTTGAAGCACATGTTTCTGGCTTCTGGCTGGGACTCTGCTTCCCCTCCTGTTGGAATAGTCACCCACAGGCTCCAACCCTTTATGAGAAATAAAGCTCTCCTTTCCAAATTATGAACCTCATCATTTCTTCAGTTGACAACACACACACACACACATGTACACATGTATACACACATATATATTCCCTGGCTCTGTCCACTGGGGTCCTGGGGCCACCCCATTAGTAATGAGCATACCTGGCTCCCACATACTGGCTTTTAAATACCATTCCTCACTGAAGGCGCCAGAGCTCCTTGGAGAAATGACTGGTTCTAGGGCTAGAGTTGCGAATGTACAAGATGAAGTTGGAATATTTTATTTTGCCAGAAAATATGAAAAATGATGGGGATGTGTCCAAAGGATACAGCTTGAAGGGGTTCCCACTGGCCAAAGCTGGGACAATTTGGGCATCAAAATAATGACAGTAATGGATTATGACCCATTGAATAAAGTAGGAAAACATGAGGCCATACAGATATAAATAAGTAAATAAATGGAATATTTGATGAGGAATGGGAAATTTACACAGTTTCAAAGTATATCTCCATAGATTACTTGTTACTTACAAAGTAAAAAGGAATAACTATTTAGTGCAAAAGCCTGGCAACCCCTATTTTAATCAAGTGATCAAATATTACCAGGACTGGGACAGAAATCATCTGCCACCTGAAAGGATGTGATGAAAAGAACACAGTATCACTTCTGTGATTGTTGCCAGAGATAACCTGAATCTAACCATGACAAAAGCTCAGACAAACCCAGACTTTGGGACACACTATAAAAAACTGGCCTGGGCTGGGTGCAGTGGCTCACACCTGTAATCTCAGCACTTTGGGAGGCTGAGGGGAGAGTATTCCCTGATGTCAGGAGTTCAAGACCAGCCTGAAAAACATAGTGAGACCTTGTCTCTACAAAAAAATACAAAAATTAGCCGGGTGTGGTGGCACACCTGTGGTCCCTGCTGCTGAGGAGGCTGTGGCAGGAGGATCGCTTGAGACCAGGAGTTTGAGGTTGCTGTGAGCTTTGATGATGCCACTGCACTCTAGCCAGGGCAGCAGAGTGAGACCCTGTCTCAAAAACAAACAAACAAACAAACAAACAAACAAACAGAAAACTAGTCTGTAATCTTCAAAAGCATTACGGTCGTGAAAATCAAAGAAAGACTTCTCCAGACTCTCATAGACCAAAGAGACATAACGACAAAATGTGATTCTGAACTGGGTCTGTTGTAGCAAAAGGACATTGTTGGGACATTTGGCAACATTCGAATGGGTTCTGAGAATTAGGCGGTGGGACTGTATCCATATTAATGTTTTGAATTTGATGGTTGTACTTGCTTATATAGCAAGATGTCCTTGTTTGTACAAAACATTTACTGCAACATCTGGAGATGATGGGGTATTAGGTCAGTAACTTACTCCCTAATGACTGAACTTTTCTTTACATTTGAGGTTGCTGAAATATACAAAAATATATATATACTTGCTCCGGCAACTTGTGGCCCTTATTCACGTCCTATTAGTTAAGGATAATATGTAAAGTAAAGTGAGGGGCTTAGTCATCTTGGCTGTCCTGATTTGCAGGCAATAGATTGGAAGGAGCAGATGCCTTTTATTTATTTATTTATGTTTTTAATGCCATCAATTCCTGATGCCACCGGTCACAGCAGAATGCTGGCCCTTCACGCACATTATGTGCTTTGTGGGCTGTGAAGGACTTTGATACATTTTCTTATTTATTTCTTACAGTACCCTCCTGGAGTAGGCAGGAACTATTCTTCCGTATTGGAGATGAGGATCATGATGATAAAATGATGATGATAATGGGCGACACTTACACAGTACTTCTTATGGGCCTGGCAATAGTCTAAAGCACTTTGCATGTTGGATACGTTAACTCATTTAATTCTCACAGTCACCCTATGAGGTAGGGATACTGTCACTATTTTATTCCATAAACAAGAAAAGCAGGGCACAGAGAAGTAAATAACTTGCCTGGGGCCACACAGCTCAGAGGCGGTGGAGCCAGGGTTCAGATCAGGCAGTGTGACTGCAGAGCCCCTGCTTACCTACTTCCTGGGTCGTGTGTCCCCCGCTAGGCTGGGGGACAGGTCCAGGCCCTCTGTGTGTACTTACTCGTTGATTTGGCAAACTGGTGCTGAGTGCCTGTAGGTGCCAAGACCTGTTCCAGACGCTGGGGAAATGGTATAAGGCAGACAGAGCCCTTGGCCTCATGGAGCTTGGGCTCTGGTGAGGTGATCAAAGAACTGGACGTGAAACTTACACCCCGCATAGGGTACAGACAGTGACCAGGCTGCCTCGGGTGCCCACGGTGCAGGCACCGGCACTCTGGCCGGAGTGGTCAGTCCCTGTGCTCACAGGTGCACTTTCTTGTCTTTTCTTTTGAAGGTCGCCTGGTCGGTGCTCTGGATGCAGTGTTGGACTCCAATGCCAGGATCGCTCCATTTCGAATTCTGCTTCAAGTTCCTGGGTCCCAGGTTTATTCTCCCATAGCATGTGGTGAGTTACTGAATGGATCAGACGTTTACTGGGCCATAGCCACTGGTGAGTTTCGTTCCAGTTGGAATATTCCAAACCTTAAGGCCTAAGCATGCTGAGTATCTGCATGTCGGTGAAGCTTGAAGGTAACCACTTTAGAACCTCATCTGCTTTTAGGACCTTAACTCTACTCTTCTATTCTCCTCTGTCCTGTCCTATACTTTCTTCTCTTTTCTCCTCCCCTTTCCTCCCTCCCTCTCCTCCCTTTCCCTCCCTCCTCTCTCTTCCCTTCCCATTTTTCTTTCTTTTTTTTTTTTTTTTTTTAACCATCAAAAGCACATAAAGGCTGTAAGCTTGGCAGCATAGCTTGGGCATGCCAGGCTTTTGAGTGTGTGTTCCAGGGGGCTCGTATGTTGTGAGTATGAATTGAGCCATTTTCTTCTTAATGTTGTTTCTGACTTAACACTTGTGTTCCTGGGTGCACACACATACCGCGATAGAAGGGGGGCAGATTCTGAGGGCTGTGTCTGACTTAGGGCAGTCTTCACCCTTTGTTCCACGTTTGCAGTGAGAGAAGGAATCACTGGACTGCCCGGTGCTAAGGGAACGCAGGCATCTCCTGGTCGTCTCCCTCTGAGGTTGCCCTTCCTCCTGCGGGCGTTACCTGGGCCTCTGACCACTCAGATTCCTCTGGGCCGGGAGTTGTTACATCCTGAGAAGCCCCTTCTATTAAAACACAAAACTAAAATGTCTTTTTTTTCTTTTTACACAAATAATAAATGTTCACCTTCCAGAAATGAAAAAGTAGGTAAAAAAGAAAGAAAAAAATTATCCGTAACCCTTTATCCAATGTTAATCTTCTGTCTACATGTATACATAGAAGTTTTTTAGTTTTGTATTTTCTCTTACACTTTATTAGCTACCGTAAACTTTCAGCATCACCTCAACATGCTCTTTAGCAACAGCGGATTTTTTTTTCCCCTGGAAAAATACGGAAAGTATGAAGAAGAGAATTCTCATCTGTATCCCACCGTCTAGTACTAATCACTGTTAACATCTCAGCATGTTTTTATTCAGTTTGTTTTGTTTTTTAATTAAGACAGATTATTCTGTATTTGCACAGAATGATAAAAAAGATGCATGCTCAATATAAAGAAATCAGTTAACACTGAAAAGTACAAAGAACATGTCTCATCCCGAATCCCAGCTGCCCAGAATAACCTCTAGTTCCACGAGGTGAACATCATCCCAGACAACTTCCTAATGCATTTAGACACGTACAGGGATAACTGCAAAGATGGATAGAAGTATTTTTATAAAAATACAACTTCTCTGTCAATGCTGTTTTATAACAAAATTATTACATTTACTTCATTTCCATAAAAGGAAAGAAACTGAAGTGAAGCCAAAGAAACGTTAAACTTCAAATAAATGTTTCTTTTAACACAAGGGAGATTATTTTCTAAAAGGTTCATGTAAGGTTAAGGGAAGGGATTTTTGAAAGCATTATAAGGTTAGAATTGTGGCTTTTGAAAAACAATGTTTTCATTCTGAGAATGTCCATTGACTCCCCACCCTATAGGTCAAGGGTGTCGGCGTTCCTGTTCTCTCCTGCTTCCCCCAGCTCCCATTTCAAAAAGTTTTATTATTGGCTTTACTTCGTAATTCCCATTCTGTCCTGTAACCGTCCTTTCTGTGATTGGTTGGCTCAGTTCTCATTTAAATTGAGTTAATGCTTCCACTAAGGTGTGGCTTTGCCAATCCAGAATCTTTTATTTTGGTTCATCTCTTAATTGGCTGGATTCCTGTTTTCTTCCCTGATGTCTCATGAATGTCCTATTTTCTGAATGTTTTCATGTTTGCAAATGTTTGCCCCTTGGTTTTGGACTTGAGTGACACCTCGGCTGGGTATGATAGTCTGAGGCCACACTCTTGTGCTCGGTGGCTGTTGCTCCAGGGTCTTCCAGTATTTGGTAGGGCAATAGGAGAAATCTCAGGCTGGTCTGATATTGTTTTCCCTGTGGGTGATGTGCTTTTTGTGCATATAACTCTGTCTTCATCATTTAAGTTTAGTTAACTTGACTAGAATCTGTTATTGCCATGAGCACAAGTGTGTTACATTTTTCTGGAATACAGTGTGCTTTTGCAGTCTTGCAGGCTGAAGATTGATTTCTTTAATCACTTTAGGAAATTTTCTAATATCACTTGGTGTATGTATCATATTTTTTGATACATTTTACATTTACTTTTCATTTTTTGGCTTGTCCACGTCAAGGACCCTTCACCTTGGATAGCTGTTGTCTTGCTTTTTGTTTCTGTTTTTCTTTATCTTTTTCATCTGTACTCTCCATGCTGTTCATACTCCTACTTCTGAGTTAATAATTCAGTTTTTAGGCGTATATTCTGTACCTTGATGCTTTTAATTTATCTATTAATTTTGTTGTCATGTTGTTTTGATTCTCAGTTCATTTTCTTAAGCTTCCAAGATCCCTTTTTATCTCTGTTACTTTATCATCTCATCTGCGAGCTCTTGTTTTATTGAATTCAAGTTCTTTTTGTATTGTTTTGGAGCATGAAGCATTTCTGAGAATTTCCTTTTCTTCCGTGAGGGCTCC